CCCAGCACATAAGGTGCTACAGTACATACAGTACATTTGCAGACTGCATCAGGCTGCTATTGTTTGATCTGCATGCCCAGCAAACTTCTTATTAGCATTGTCCATGCCTTTAGAACGTAACAGTTGGATTTTGGCAATGCATTATGGTCTTAAATCATCTCCAGAAGCTTTAAAATCAAGCAGCTAGATTGCTAACAGGAACTAGGAAGAACGAACACATATTTCACCAATTCTTTACCATCGACACTGGCTCCCTGTTCAGCAGCGGATTTAATTAAAATTTTCAAAATATGTTTTCAGAGCCGTTTGGGGCACTAGACCTACCTATCTCAGTCTCCAACTTAAACAATGTAACGACAAACTAAAGGTAATTCAGCTCCAATTCTTGAATGAAAACATCAAAAGAAAGTCCATGGCAGAAATAGAGCATTTAATGTCTGTGCCCCTCAGCTATGGAATGGCTTGCCTGTGTTATTCAGACAAATTACACTTTTCTCTGATTTTAAAGTGAATCTTAAGACCTATCTTTTTAATGAAGCATTTGGGATGTTGTTTAGAGGTTTAATGTGTACGGTATATAACGTGTAGTTATAATGCTTTGCTCATTTCTATCTCACTAGTATTTATAATGAGAGGCGTCACTGACAATTCAGTTTTAAGTGATGCTATAGATTATGTTTCCAAGTAGGTCACTTGGGAGGCATTTTGTGGTAAATTTTTCAACATTAGGGAGACATCGGTCATTAGGGAGACATTTCAATGTCTCCCCAATGTTCCAACTACCAAAAGGAGGAAAATGTTTACTGTCCACATTTTGAGAGATGATAGATTAGCGTCTGAAAGGAAAACATGCAAAGTTTGGTTAATATCGGATTAGGAAATACTGGATTATGGGACGGTAAAGTTTGAAAAATTTTGTGCACGTTCCTATGGGAACGTCTCCTGAGTGACCCATTTTCGGTAATTTAAATTACTATTATTATTATCATTATTAGTATGTACCGGTACCATCATTCTGACAATCCAATGTCTTTGCACCACTCAGCTCTCCAATAAGGTCGTCTGTAGTAATCAAACTGTGTTTCTGAAATGAAACTTTCCCAGTATGAACAGGGCCTTACGAGAGAGTTATCCACCCCGAGTTGAAGTGCATCCCCAATCCGCGAAAAAGAAAGACAGGTGGTAACAAGCAGGTTCTTGTACGCATTCTGCATGTACGCAAAGACCATTCAAGCCGGAATAAATTAGTTATACATAAATACCGGTATGTGCGCACCTCATGGCGCGCCTATGCGGTGAGTGCCAAAAAAACATGTCCTCTTTTGTTCTGCTCGGAGCGGATAGCAACAACGGAGCTTGACACTGAACAAGAATTTGCTCATCGTTGATTCACAGACTACAGTGTACATAGATCTGTTCCAGAGCTGCTTAATAAAAATAAATGTATTGACAAAATACAAGCATATCCATCCCATCAAGTGTTCTTGAGGACTTGTATGTCCAAGACACTTGAAGCAACACGAATAGTGCACTTGGTACAACAGTGTTGAACATGTGTGAGTTCACAAAGATTGATAGTCACGGTTGGGTTGGAAGGTCATTGACAAATTACCTGATCTGTTTGTTTGTGGAATGGCCAGGTATGACATTTTGTTTCCCTGAGAGAATTTGTCAAACTTTTTTGCATTTCCCACTCTGGAATTGCACTCTTGAAGGGGCAAGGCCATTCTGCGTTCCTATCATTACACTTTCACCCCCAAAATGTTCAGACATATTGATCAAAACATTCCAAGAAAGACAGCAAAGACAGCAAAATCCAGGGCAACGTTTGATGGAATTATACTACAATCATATCATACAATACCACAGTTAGGTGGAGGGATACACAAGATAACCTCCAAACACGTGCAGCAATGAGGCCATTTTTACAAATTCGCGGTCGACATCTTCCCCAGTAATAATCTGTTCTTTATATTTGGCAAGAGGCAGCTTCATAAATGGATTCATCCTCACATAACACAAAATCCACACTTTGATCGCAAATAACGAATGGTCCAATTCTTACAGCAAAAGGAATCATGTTTAACATTTTCCCTCAGACACGGTAAAACAAATTGGCCTTTCCATGGTAACCTCAATAGTGGTTAGCCGTATTGTGATGTTTTAATGTTTTTACCAAATCAGCACCCTCACCTGTTTCCTGCTTTCTAAATAGAAAACCCAGCCACTTACATGTACATGTACCCTGCCCACACCTCAACTCTAACCCATTTTCCTAGATATACGTGTATTCATATTAAGGAGAGTTTTGCCAGCAAAGAACGTGCAGGATTCATGATTGAAGGTACCACATACGTAAAGAGCAGAACAATTATCCCAACAATAAAATGATCACTAAGGTTACCAAAAGCATCTTCCAGTCTGAGGAGAGCACAGAGAAGTAACCTTGGTCAGTGCACATGCACCTCTTGGGGATTTTCATTCTATGTTAAATTACTTACAGCAATGAGTAGTTTGACAACTTCCGACTTTCCAGCTAAGGCTGCCTCGTGCAGAGCTGTCCCATTGGGTGTTTCTCTGTTTATGTCGATACCATACTCTAGCAGAACTCTGAAGGGTTAAAAACAAGCAAAGGATGGAAACATCACTCCAAAAACCAGTTTGGGAAGTACCATCTGCATTACGCCTCAATTAAACTGAACAAGAACAAAAAAGCAAGGTCTTTGAGAACAAAACACACAAGGTTGTGCAAATTCAGACAGGTTCAGTATGAGTGAGTCAGTGTAAGACCACGTTGATGCAGACGACCTTGCGCATGCCTACTGATGTTCTCCAATGACCTATGTCATGCTTCACTGAAACAACAAAGAGTATCATCAAAAAGGAAAAAATTCAGTGAAGAATGCAGCAAAAAGCAAAGTACATGTAAGTTTGACATGGAAATTGGCTGACTGCACATATACGATGTGCGAGATCTCAATCATGAGCAATGCTTTTCTAGAGTTTTCACATGGAAGCCTTGTGGAGCACCAACAAGCCCCTTCCAACCACAAATAAACATGAGGCAAGGGGTTTGCTTTACTTCAACAACAAAGCAAATAAACAGCACCCCGACTTTACAACAGAAACCTCGAAAAAATAAGCATGGATATGGGAACACTCATAATTTTAACACAGTAACTGAGAAAAAATAATCAAACACGTAAACAACAAAGACTTTCAAAGCTCAGTGATGTCATGCAAAATGAAGTAAATCAATATTTTTATTTCAAATTTGATCAATCTGAAAATAAGAAAGAACAGAGTCAAATTTTATGAAACCTGAATGAAGACTGCCATTTTGGCCACAGTAACTTCTTTTTCATGATTAAAGCTTTATTCATGGAAACTGTGTGAAATACAGCAATGCTACGAAATTGGTAATATAAGGCGGAATTGTAAGCTTCAAAACCGTTTGGAAAGCCAACGTAGCCCACTTTCCATTAACTGGTTGAAGTCATAATATACCTCTGCCACTGGGGAGCAATGCTCTAAAGATGGCTCTGGTGACTACAATGGCCAATATGGCAAAGATGGACTTTGATACATCTTCTAGTAATTGAGTTGACAGCCGAGGGGGTTTGAATTCATTTTGAAAAGCCAGATGTTGAAGCTCAAGAGGAATACCACCGGGATCCTACAGTTGGACAACTTGAACTGAAAGAATTCAAGCTGCCACCCAAAAAAAAAAATGGACGGGAAATTTCAGCAATGCCATAAAATGCACAATGGTTGTATTTTGAAATAAGGCCGCACGAAGAAGTTCTCTCTGTTTCAAAGTTTTCCCATTTTTAAAGCATGCCCTCCTAGTCTCACATTTGGCTCATAAGTGCTGTCGTCAAATGACAGTAAATAAGTACATGAAAGATAAACCGAGGGAGGTTCAGTGTAGGGTGAATGGAGGACAATCAGGCTACACCGGGTATCTGTATGGTTGAGGTATTTTCCTTGAGAATGAATTACAGGAAAGAGAACAGCTCTTTTTCCATGATATAATGCTCAAACCTGCTTCCTAATGTCAGGGAAAATTTTAAAAATCTGATTCCTTCAGCAGGTCTAAGGGTTAGAAACGCTTTGAAGTGCATCATTTCATTCTTTTACACTTCACTCAATGGGAAAAGCGGTAATAGAATTGTAACTGATTTTTCTTCGGTAAACCAGTGAACAGGACCTACTCGTACATGTACATGACGGACATTTTAAACACTGGTTTGTTTGGATCACAGAAATTTGAAAGATCCCTTCCTGTATGTGACGCAGTTTCATGAAGTCAGTCTGAAAGGACTGCTGTGCCTTCAATGAATCACTTTCATCTGCTTCATCACAAATTCACAAGTTTAATATGCTTTACATATGACCTGTTCTTCCCCCCCCAAAAAAACCCGCGATTTTGTGCAACTTTTATTTCTCATAGAAAACATTTCCTTGACAAACTTTTCTCAGTAATCAATCATTTCCTGAATCAGGCACAATTCCATTCTTATCAATATGTCAGACCATAAATCTGTTCACACAATTAACTTATCCAGTCTGGTGCCATACCAGGTGAGTTTTTTTCCCCCTTGTAACCTGAAGCCAAATGTTCCAGGAAACAACACAATATTAAAACTGAAAAGAACATACAATCTCCACAGAAAGGTTAAAAGAAATCCCTGACAGTACAGAGCAGTTGCCTTCAGCATAACATTTCCGGATTAAATACACTGAGCTCTTTTTGTACAAATTTCAAGTAGAGATCACATTAAAGCAACTTTCCCCTCCCCCCGAAAAAAAAACCTTCTAAATTTTAACCATCCTCCACCAGTGAAGCACTGAAAAACTTGTAGGAGTTTTAACAAAACCAACACAATGAGTTCCACCCGACTGTGTCTTTAAGAAATCAATCCAGATGTGGCACACTTGCTATAAATTTCAATTCTGGTAATAAGGACACAAGTACAGAATGAGACAGGATCCCGGTTTAGTGTTTCAGGACTCAGGGGTAATGCTCTTCTAAGGACGAGGAAGAACTGTCACATTAAAAAAATGATGTTCAGACAGGTGACAGGGTATTCAATATACAGCATATTCAAGTCCTCATGTTACACATGTTCACTCAACTTCATTGACAAGAATAGATTAACAACTACAGAACTGTAAAGTGTTCAATGTACCTGTACATATGCTTTCATATAGTTCAGTCAGGTTTGTAGAACCAGTTTGAGGGAAATTTGAGGGAAACTTTTAACCTCAGGAGATTTTTGACAATTTGATACAGAACGTGGATTAATTTAAACCAGGTTAATCAAATGAATGAAGGCTACCAGGACATGTACAGAAGGGAGCATTGCAAAGTGGAGCATTCACGCCAAGTATGAAATCTGCAAATAGCCAGATTAGCCTTTAACCAAAACCAAGACCATCTTGAATAATGCAAGGAAGAAATTGTAGTGCTCAGGTCCGTTTTGCCGAATAAACACTACTTGTAGCTCTATAAATGAACTGTGGGTTTCAGCAACTTGTAAAAACACAGCAAGTACGGTACATGTACATGTATGTGTAGGCTACACACTAGTGACACACAGATCTGAAGGGAAGACGTAATACACGTGTATCACCATACATTCAATAAAAAAAAACAGGATATTTGGTAAGCTGAAGACAGATCCTTCATGAATGAACATGTATACATGTACAATTGATGCTGTGCACAGCCAAAGAGGGCGCTGCGAGAACTTGTTGCAAAAGCCAATAAGCAAGCAGGCACTGGTTTGTATGGTGCATTCACAAACTTTCATAAATGTGTACAAAATCACAGCACAAAACCACATGAAAGAGCTAGGCGCACAGCAAGAAATGTGCTTACGTGTCTGTCACGTATCATCTGGGGGTAACTGACACCAGAGTTCATAACTTTTACTCCGTGGTAAATCTGTCCATGGTACATGTATGCGTACATGTACTCCGTAGATACCGAACATACTTTGCTATCTGCCAATGATTGTGCAACGTGTATGACCCAACAAGTTCCATCCCCCAAAGAGCAAAAAAGTTTTTGGAGGGAGGGGAACTCCTCAATAAATTTCATGGGTTACTGATCCCGTCATGAGACAAAGTGCGGAACTGAGTTAGTGTTTCAACAACTTCCCCACGTTCACCCAGACCGTTTCTATTTCCTTAACCCAGTGCACTGCAGTTTAATCTATCTCCCTAGGTTATCTAAACACACTTGACACCGATTGGCTAACTGCTGGAGAACAATTACTCAAACTACTTCCCCGTGCATTGTTCTTAAAGTACACTTATGGGTGAACTCAACGTATGCAGATCCCACTTCACCGGGGCGATTCTATCAACTGAAATAAAATGTGAGGACAGGATGGCAGGAAGAGTACTGTTTTAGCAAGAACAAAGAAAACTGATCACAATTAAAATCAAGACCGGATTAGGCCTACTTCGCCAGAAATTTACAAAACTTGCATACCAGCTCAGTACCAGTGGAGTCTGACTCGACTCAATCCTTCTACACACAACAGATGTCATATATTATTTAACCCATTTTTTTCCACATACGCAGACCAGGAAAATTAAATGTCCACCAAATACTTACCAGAGGTTTTACGGGCCCTGCAGCAGGGTAGGATCTACGGCATACCCCCTTACACCCCCACCACATTTGTATTTGCCTACAGGCGCCCCTCAAAATACCCATTTCCCTTTTTTCCCCACAGTTTAAGAAAGGCTGGTTGAAAATCCTGAGATCAGGAATAAAAAAGGTCCTGAAATCAGGAAAAATCCTGACAAATCTCACCCCTGACGACACATTAACCGGGTAGCAGCAGATCAAATTTAAAGGTCACAAACAGTTATTGAAATTCTTTCGAAATTTAAAGTTTCAAACCTTCTCAAGATATGATGAGCAGTCCACATTTACATCCATGCACAAAATAATGGGTCCTATGTCATTCAAAAGCTGATTTTCTCAAAAGGTAAGAAACTGGACTGATCTGTTGTTGCATATAAACTCTTCACATGTACAAATGTACATGTATCATGTATCTAAACACTGCAGTCCCTTGCCTTTGATTTGTGCTTGTTTTGTGTACACATACTCGTACGTGACCCGGTACATTGTAATAAGGAATAAGTCACTGAGGCCGTGTTATTTAACGGCAAAGTAAAGTGGGGATGTGGGGAAATGTTGGAAAAATCGATGTGGCAGTTTTTTTATGTATTTGGAAGTGTTTGTATGAAAGGTTACCATCAACACACTTGTAATAGGTACCATTTGAAAGCTTATGAAATTCTCTTTCTGACCATGTACATATCTCAAAAAGTCAATTCGAGACTTACTCCTGATTTTGATGTGCTGGGTCATATATATTTATACCAATACACATGTACACAGCTCACATAAACAATACACCCCACACATGTATCAACACATGACCATTTTCGTTAGTTATTACACGTTCCCACAGATCAGATTCCCATCCAAACACCTTCAGGAATTTGTTTTGTAAATTACATTACTTTCTGTGTTGGGAGAGTGCAAACCCACACATTCTTACAAGCTGTCTGTTTCTGTCAAC